GTTTAATAGGTATTGCATGATTGGTGGGCAGGGTCAAAAAGGGATTATTATAATGACATGGCACCTCGGAACTAAGTGTTAACCCTTTTTTGAGAAATCATGCTCAAGTATATGAACCCAAATTGCATATTAAATAAGTTTACAAGAACCACTAAAATTAATCTTAATCTTTTTTTAAGAAATTTTACTTACCTAAATACATGTAGGTACTTAGTTTTAGACCAAATTACTTCCCAAAAATGGCCTTTTATTATTATCTATGTCTGTAATTTTTAATTTACTTTAATTATTAAGTTTAATAATCCTAAGATTTGCCTACGCCCATGGACGACAACGAAATTCAGGCAAATTTTATGACACTTCATGATTTATTACTCTACACTCTTTTGAAATAGACTATAGTTCTCCTTTATTTTCAATGTTTTAATATTACCACTTGTTAACAAAAAGGATTCGAAACTTCAATAACGTCTGATTATTATATGCTAGCATTTTCGATAGCACATTGTGCTATTATCTTCATGGCTCTAGAGCCGTGTCTAGAGTGTCGATTGTTTAAAAAAACTACAATCTAAAAATTTAGAAAGTTAATTAGTTACCTTATCAACGAAGATTGAAGGTTTGAACATTAATGGCACATGACTCAATCCAACAAATATTTCGTCGGTATTGTAAAATTCCCTCTTCTCCTTGTATACAGGTATGTCGGAAATTAGTCTGTTGATTTTGAAGAACGTTATATTCTTGAAGTTGATGAGGCTTGGTTGTGAAAACGCTCTGTCAAATCTTTTTATTTTGTTTTTCGTTACCAATGAGTCCTCGCCACCAATATCGTTATCTCCGGGTAGCCAAATATGCTAGAAATTCAATGAATAACATTTATTGTACTAAATCAATGACACACTTGTTTGGGATGTACCTAGTTTTGACATACATTGTTTATAAAGAAGAAGTAGATACAAAAATGCCTGTGAATGAGGTAACCAACCACCCAATTTTGCCCAATTCCTCGTATAAGAAAAGAAAACTTCTCACATATAGTCAGTGGGCATACTGGTCTTCAATTATGCCCACTGACTATATATGAGAAAAAAGTATTTCTTTTGGACAAATTCCTTTTTTGATCTGAAATTGGAAATTTATCCAGCCAAGGTTGAGTTAGAAAAAGACGACTCGAAAATTGAAGAACGATGGAAAGGAATAGAAAATCTATCATTTATGTTCCTCAGTGATCTGTTGTGAATGTCCTCCCTTTGAACTATTTATGAGGCAAGGTACTTGGGTAGTTCAGTAGCCAAGATCTTGTTGACAAGAAATCATAGTGAACAAAACGCGTTTCATCCAATTTCAAATATCGCAATTCCCTAATATGAGGTACATAAAACGAATGCATTGATTTTGCATTTTTGCGAACTTGCACGCCCTTCATGGCATTCATTAGCAAAGTCCGCGAACTACGTCAGTATGTATGCGAGAGGACAAATGATTTGCAAAGCATTTTTTAGTGGTAGTGTCCAGATTCCGTTTGAAGGGAAGTCGTTTTTTTAAGCTTAGGTAGATTATCTTTGCGGCGATACTTAATTGCTTGGAGAATTTTAGCTGCTGGTCAAAAATAGCACATCCTGCTTCAGAGACAGAATGAGTTAATTTTTGTTTGAAGGTGATTGATAATGTTTCATGATAAATTTTATTATTTCGGACTTCCATTGCCTTTTATTACCTGCTTCAGATTCGGAAACTCTTCGTAGCAGCCTCACAAAAACCAGGTCACCAAACGCGGACTGCGATTCCAAGAATTGCATTTGTCGGATTTCCTGCGAGGGCGGAAAATCCTATATCGGTGAAACTAAAAGGCTATTGAAAGTTCGCATTGCCGAGCACAAGAAACACACACAGCGAGGAGAAACCAGCAAATCAGGAATAGCAGACCATGTTTGGACCCATCAACATAACATCGAGTGGTCCCAAGCTGAGATCATACACAGGGTGGACTACTGGTTTAGGAGGATATTCAAGGAAGCCGCATACATATTGTGGAACAATGTATTCATCCAAGCTAGCGTAGAGATACGCAACATATGGAAACACATAATAAAGCGAAAAATGGCCAACTCCCGCCAAACGCAAAACCGGTGAAGCAGAAAGCGGAAATAAGTAACTTGGCTTGAAATCTCTCTCTTTTTTTGTTTTTTATTTTTTGTTTGATTGTTTTACTTTTTTACTTGTATTTCATTTCACTGTAATTTCTCTTCAGGATTTTTTTGCTTAATATAAATGTTATTTTCAGCAATTCTTTTTAATTTGTATTGGTTCTTTTAGGGATTTCAAATCATTTTATACAGGGCTATTTAAATTCGTTTCTGTACATGGGGATCTCGTAAACGATAAGAGATAGAATGTCGCTTAAATTGTGGCAAAGTTGCATATTTTAGAGACCTATTCAATTATATAAAAAAATCAAATATAGCTCTTTTGGTTACGGAGAAAAAACCGAAAAATCCCAAATTATGTTTTTGCCTATATCTTCTTTATTCGCAGACATATTGAAAATTTGTCTACATTTTGCTATTGGCACTTGATGTGGGCTAACAGAATATGTCCATGAATCTTTTATACAGGGTGTCATCTGACTTGGGCCACCCCCATCTTTAAGTTTTTAAACACGGACCTGTATTTTTTGTTGTAGTTTTTGTTTCGTCGACATTCATTTCATACTGAGAAATTAAATTCAATTTTATATTTCAGGACGTTTCGGTAATATTTGATTATAATTGTGTGAACTATCTATCCCCTTTTAAATTACGGCCCTGGAAATTGGTTGACTGAGTTAAATATCAATCGATCAATCAATATGCTTTATTGTCGGAAGATTAGTATCTTATTGACAAAGTCTTGTAAAAAAATCAAATGAATCTCATAAAATATAAAATATTAAAAATACAATACATGACATTAGGTAAATATAAAAAATACAAACATAGCAATTTCACAAATAAAACAATTCTACCATGATATCCTATAATGTTCACCTAAACTCATCTGTCTTCTTAATGTTTTATTTGTGAAATTGCTATGTTTGTATTTTTTAAATGTAATGTCATGTATTGTATTTTTTATTTTTTATATTTTATGGCATTCATTTGATTTTTTTACAAGACTTTGTCAATAAGATACTAATCTTCCGACAATAAAGCATATTGATTGATTGATTGATATTTAACTCAGTCAGCCAATTTCCAGGGTCATAATTTAAAAGGAAATAATTCACCCAATTATAATCAAATATACCGAAACATCTCGAAATATAAAATAAAATTTAATTTCCCAGTATGAAGTGAACGTCTACGATCCAAAAACTACAACAAAAAATACAGGTCCGTATTTAAAAATTCAAAGATGGGGGTGGCCCAAGTCAGATGACACCCTATATAAAAGATTCATGGACATATTCTGATAGCCCGCATCAAGTGCCAATAGCAAAATGTGGACAGATTTTCAATATGTCTGCGAATAAAGAAGATATAGGCAAAAAAATCATTTGAGATTTTTTTTTGTTTTTACTGTATATCTCCAGAACCAAAAGAGCTATATTCAATTTCTTCACATCATTGAATAGGTCTCTAAATTACGCAACTTTGCCACAATTTAACCGACACTCTATCTCTTATCGTTTACCAGATCCCCATGTACAGAAACGAATTTGAATAGCCTTGTATAATATTAGACAATGGAAATCCGAACTAATGAAATTCATGAATTAATTTGTTGTCAACGAACTCATCAAGGTGGCTCAAGTTGAAGGATGACCCAATAGGAATATTTTGGCTTTTCGCAGAGTTCAGGAGTAGGGATTTTTCTCGGTCCACCTCTTTATGGTTGAAAGATCGTTGTTTATTTTTGTCAGCTCCTCAAATTTTTGACAAGGCTGAAAGTTTAGGTAGAGGGAGTAGTTGTTGGGAAACATATGCAGATTGCTGCTGCTGCATGTCACATGTAAAAAAACAGAGTGGGAGCGAGTACCGAACCCTGAGGTACGCCATTATTAATAATTCGGTTGTCCGAAGTGAGCACAATTAGGTGATTATTCACACTGATATATTGTGATAGGTTGAAGAGATAGGCTTTGAGCCAGTCTGAAATTCGACCATTAAACCCATGGTAATGGAGTTTGGGAATCAGGCAGTCAAGGTTGACAGTATCAAGAGCCTTCGACATATCCAATAGGGTAAGAGACGCCACTTTTTGGTTGTCTACAGCCTTGAGGAAATCGTCTGTCATGCAATGGATATCGTACTATGACCTTTACAGAAGCCTGACTGGTTTAAAGGCTCCTTCAGCGATTTTGAGAGCTACAGATGTCTGATTTATGAGGGAAGATCACTGAGGCTATTTACTTTTGTAGAGAGCTTCTGTAATTTTGTGGTAACACAACGGGCACCACAAGGTAACGTTTTGTGCCTCCCTTTCACTTTGTTAAGATGAGAATTATTAAAAAAGTTTTATTATAGATAAGTAACAAAAAGGTGAACTTGTGAAGATCATTAAATTATATCAGTTAGGTTAGGTTAGATTAGGTTAGATTAGATTCACTAAATTTTCCTGCCCTTAGTAACTCAAATATTTTTCCTTATTACCCTAACATTCGACGGACTTCCTCCACTCAAAAATATATTGAACAGCCTCCTAACATAGTTACTGAATTCTTCATCGGTAGCCTTATGAGCCTCATCCATCAAATCACCCAAAAATATAACCAAATCCGGTTGAACAAAGTTGAAGGCATGGTTGTAAGTTTTTTGTACGAACCTAAAATCAAGTACAAGATATCAATCACTTCCATATTTACGGACATCCACCTTAGAGGATAGTTTGCTGACCGCGGGGAATGATAGAGTGACAATTTATGAGACTCATTGTTCTGTGGTGAACCAAAAGTTTATAGACTTTAAAACCTCCATTGAAACTTTTATAAATACTTATCATAGAGTATTCATGATATTCGATTTTAGTCATCTCCTGATGATGCTGACTTGGTTAGCGAAACACGGTGAGTGACAATTTGGATAAAATGTTTTTATCACATTCATTTTACATCACAAGAGCTTCCAGTTCTAGCTAACAATGAAATCATGTTTGAAAATGATCATTATAAAAGGATTAAAATTTTGTATCCACCAGTGGTTTTATTTGCGAAAATATTGTTTTCTCTTTGCCCATTCAAAATTTTCACATAGTAGTTTACTAAGAGAATTCATCTTTGAAAGTGAAATAGGATTCTCTCTTATCTGGTGCTGATTTATGTACATGAAAATAATCTTATCTCATGTTTGCACTGTGATGAATTCAACTTGTGATGAAGCACAAAATATGGTTAATAAGTTCATAGAGTGAAAGTCAGTAAATGGAAATGAAGAGAGGAATCTATTTTCACTGAAGATCAGGTACCTTAAAATATGTACTGTATCGAATTTTAACAAAGTAAAAGACTTCTTAGTATCAAATTGGTTTAGGAGAAGTGAAGCGCTGATTTTATGTTGATGGCTGCCCGTTTATTGTCTCAAGCCCCAAGTAACAATTTTTTTTTGAAATTTTCCGACTACATATTACTCAGAAATTATTGGAAAACCTGTACAGGGCATATAATGAACAACAAAATTTGATTCTAATCATTAAAGAAGTCTATATGTCTATGAGAAGCTAGTGAAAGAGTTGGTGTACCTCAGGGATCAATTCTAGGTTCTTCATTGTTTATATTATTTGTGAATAATAATATGAAAGATGCCATAAATGCCAAACTACAGGCAAGTATAACTTCCTCTGATAACTTCAGTTGACGCTACAGTTGTGACAATGTCTAGAAAATTCAATAAAGGCCCATTATCTACAAGCAGAAACACAAAGTCATTTCTTTCTAAATTTCGTGTTTTCCAGAAAAGTTTTTTATGTATTTCTCCTGTAGTTGAATCAGTGCTGAGTGAAATAGTACAATATTGTTTTTTCACTAATTTTCTAGAGTTTCCATCGTAGATTAGTTTGACAATAACAACCTCAATTTAGGTGCAGATCTAATTATAAGATATATATTATACAAAGTGCAGTGTTGTACAGTTAGTTTCTGCACACAAATAACCAAACACTTATTCAAAAGTTCTGAGAAGTATCGAGAAAAATGTTCAGCAGAAGACAACAAAGTATCAGGCCCGGTGGTTGGAAATCACTTACGGTTGCTGAGAGCTAAATGAAACTTTGCATGAAACATCTTCGACAAGTGTAAGGCTATGGTCAAAACTATACTTAACTAATGAACGATATGATTCTCCACCTTCAACATTTCATCCCTTTTTAGAGTCAGCAAACTATTTTCTCTTTGTGGCAGGTGGAAGCATATTTGTGAATGCCTTACCTGTCACTGTCAAAAATTGAAAAGGGTGTTATGAAATGATACTTTTCTTCATTGTTTCCGATGATTTGGGGATCAGCAACCAACAAAATTCTTGTACATTCGTTTTTGTTATCACATCGTAGAGAGGGCCAGTTTCGAGTATTTAAGTAATAAGAAAATATTTCATGGTGGGAAACACATAATATCACAAGAATCAATGGAATATGTAGAAGCCTCCTTTTGAAACATGGTCTGAAAATATGAAAAAAATTCAACCAAAATCGTAGAAATAAATGAACAAGAAATGGTCAGTTTTCCAATTATGCAAGTGTTGAATTCATTTATGATTTGACATCATATTTTAAAACCTTACCTAAAAAAATGCATAGCGAAATCTATATCATAGCTAATAGGTAAAAATGTAGCTTCCCTAATTTCCAACTTCCATATGGAATTGTAAAGATGTTTGAATTTCCATCATTCATATCTCATATTTGATATTGTTTTTAATTAATTCAAATTGGATTTTGTTTACATCTGGGGTCTGGGTATTGGAGTCTGAGAGCTGTCGAAATTCAATAACTTTTTTTGGGTTATGAAAGGGCCAAAAAAATCTTACCAAATAAGTACATATAAATTGTAAATTCACTACTATTTATTTTGCAATTTTAATTGTAATCTGGCGAGTCTGAGTGTTCAAAAATGAATGGCTTAATGAAACATATTGATAATTATACAAATTCGAGTTTTTTAATGAAATTATTGACAACATTAAAGTATATTTTTAAAATTACACAAATATATGTAAAATTAATTTTATTTTGTGATTGGTGAACATAAATAGGGCTACAAATTAATTCTGTAGTAGGTTACCAAATTGCTCAAAATTTCATATTTTTTTAGGTAACTTAGGCATCTTTTAATAAATCTGTGATATATACTCTGTAATAATTTTTAAGTAGGTACATCACTTACCTATATGATAAAATACAAATACAGCAATACCTATACCACAATTGTATAAACTCATGATAATCTCAAGGAAGTATATGTAAATACAGGTGTGAAATGAATGCATTTTTAACAGTTAATTTCTTATGGCAACATTTTTATTGAATCAATTTTTGAAATTAATTTTTTTGGTTGCTTCATATTGCTTTTTTTATTTATCTGCATGAAAGTTTTTGTTGGTGAATCACGTGGTACTTAAATGAAATGTATTAAATATGATGCAAATGTTACATCTCTACATTAAATTGACCCTTATCGTTGATGGGCCAGAACAAGGTAAAACTGTTGTTACTGAAATCAAACAAGTATTACCATTTCACTTGACTCCAGTACTTGAAATTGCTTCAAGTCAGCTAATATTGCTAAAATATATTTGGTTTTGAGCTAATATCAACAAATATATAAAAATATTACTGTTAATTCTTTTCTAAAGGGTCATAAATCAACTTAAGTACTTTTTTATTTACTGACGAAAATCTAACTTTACATTTATTTAGAGTATAAACCTATATCAACTTTCATAAATTGAGTTTTTTTAGGAAGAAACACAAGCACTACGGGGAAATCCTTAAGGCCCTCTAAGAGTTGTGCCTGTGCGAAAGTAGCGATTCACGTTGGATTTGAATCGCCGGAGATTAAATTCATTTGGAAAAACGTTCTCAGGAAGTTTATTTCACAAAAACGCAGTTGTGCTGATTTCACAGCCTGACAAAAAAGTTCTCATTTTACTTCTTGGACCATAATTGATTTACATTGCGACAACTTGTTCGAAGTAAAACTTCCTAACCTAACCTTATATTCGACTAATGCATTTTAATACGTGAAATTTTCTAAGTTCTAGTTGCACTATATAGAGTTGAATCCAACTTTGGCCCTAGCCTACTACAGGTTAATTTTTCTCATGAACAATCATATACTAAATAAATTTGAAATAAATGTAATTTGGTGACATCTATTTTGTCGAGTACAAAGTGTACATGCAAGAAAATTGCTGTCTACAGACGCTGATTATAATTTACAGTTATAAACGTAAATTCTCAGTTGTATAAAAAAATATTTTTATAGATATCTGTGGCCCTTTTATGCTCTCGTTATCAAGTAACAGTTATTTGTTTCAGACGTATTTTTCAACATCATGGCCATTTCTGAGATGGTTATAAAAGTATAGCATGAAACGAAAAACCCACAGAACTATAACTCTAAGTTAGAGTTCTGTGGAAAAACCAGAACAAGTTGTGTTCTATGATCAGTTTTTTTTAGTCAATGGCCTTATCTGCCAAAGCTACTGTCCAGTTGTTTTTCTCAGCAAAAGAATTTCAATTTCCTACATTTTTCAAATGAAAAGATATGCAACATATTTCCTGTATAGTTATGAGGATGGGGCAAAATTAATTCTAACCTACACGAAAATTATGGACATCCAGCTAATTGAAGACAAAACGATAGATATTCAAAAAATATTTGTGAATAGAAAAGTTATTAGCGTCTATGATTGTATTAGTTCTTTTTTTTTCCTTCGTTTTGATAGTAAATAAGTATTCTTATTTTATTGTACACACCCCATTTTTTTTCATGTATAAAATTTCCTTTTTATGCATAATAAAGGATATTTTAACCGTCCCCAATGCCCAGAAGTCTTCTATAGGTATAATTCTGTTATTATCAATAATCTCAAGTCAAGGAAACAAAGATATTTATCTTAAATTATTTATTTGTATAAACAGAACATGGTTAATTAAACCATCCTCCTAAGAAGCTCATTTATTTTGTCTTCCCTGTTTCCAAAGTCACCACCTTCGACGTAATGGTTGGTCTTCTTGCGCCACCCACCAGTTGGTGTGTTAAGCTGAAAATTGACATAACATCAAACAATATGAACAAGAAAAATAAACAATTTACTTTTTCAACTTAGTAAATTTTATGTGTAAAGAATTCATAATTTTTTTAAGCCACTTGAATTAACGTAAAAAAAAATGTTGAAAGTGGACAAGGATGTCATCAAATTCTTTTTCAATGATAGATCATTTATAAAAGCACAAAAAAAGAAAAGGACCACAAACAGATCCCTGCGGAACACATTGTCATTGAAAATTATATTTGAATAACCAGAAATAATTAAAAATAAACGAATTCAGCGCATTTCTCTTACCTTGAATGGCCACAAGAAGTTGGAAGCGTTCTTGAACCTACTTCCGACAGTGAAGATTTCGTGGATCAAATCTTCAACACATATGATGTCGGACTTTCCTAATTTGTCTTCGATGATTTGATTGCTAGTGATTGGCACCCTTTGGCCGTTCACCTTGGCGAAACCTCTCTTATAAATCAGTTCTCTGACAGATTTCAAGTTAGGGTATCCCCAAGTGATGTAAGGTTCGCATATTCTGAGCATGTTGATGGTAGCTTTGTTGAGCTTGACAAAGACACCATTGTTGATTTGAAGGAGCCGGAACAATTGGAGAACCTTGCGTACTTTAGGAGCTACTTTGTTGATACTGAAAAAAAAGAAGAGAAGTCAGTTAAGTGGTGATTTATCAAATCTGTAATATAATATTAAGAACAAAATTTGTACTGGTCGAATGGAACTGGGATATACCCCAAAGTCTCAGCGAAGACTCATTGCTATGAAAGTCTATGTTCCTAAACAAGGTATATTTGTTACTTCGTTTAACGTTATTGTTATTGCCAGTAACTTTTTTGCAAAATCCCCCAATGAATGAATCATTTTCTTATTGAACAAAGGAATAATATTGAGTTTAGTTTTTTTTTTGGAAAGTAAAGGTTCATTATCTTGATTCGAAAATTGTAGTTTAGATTTCAAGTTTGGCAAAAGAATTTTGCAAGAAAATTAGATCTTCAGAACAAAAAATGGGTAACTTTCTGAAACATTACCCTTTCATGGAGAAAAGCCCAATATTTTCATTATTTGTTCCAAAAATGTAATAATTTAACTCTCATTTTACAAGGAAAATTATAAATATAACAAATAGAGCAGTTCAACTCTCCTTATACATTTATAAGAGGCAGTAACTTTTCAGGACAAATTTTCAATTTGTTTTTCAGAATGGATAGTTTTAAACTTAAAAAAATATTCAGAAATGTCAATTTGAATTTTGATATTATGGCAATATATCACCAAAATACTTATAACTCAAACTATTTTCTATTAGACAGCATGGAAAATGATAATTTTGTACAATTACCATTATGAATCTGTCTAGTACAGCACAAAAAATACTCAATAAAACACATACATACATATATTCCGCTATAAGTGCAAAAGAATGACGAAACAATTAGTCCCTGTTTGACGACTGTATCGAGGAGAAATACATACGTAAATTCATATTTATATATTTATTTTCTTATATGTGTGGATCTCTCCTTGATACAGTATTCAGACACACTATGATCTCTGTTAAAGTATTGATACATCAGATGATTCTTTCCTCACTTGGGGCTTTGTTCACGAGATGGAGTTGGTACTAGTTAACAATCTCTCCATTAGATGTGAGGTTTCATACATGCAATCGAGCCACGCTGAAATTAATCGAGTCTCAGGTACTTTCCTACATTGATAAGAGGTAATACTTCGAAACCGGTCTGTAGGTAATCTACTTGATTGATTTTAGAATGTTCCTGCTACAGGATGAACAAGAAATATCTGCAAGAGTAACCTCTCTGAGGTATCTTGCAAAAATGTCTACTTTTGGTAATAAAAACACGTAAAATGGTTCATTCTTATCAATATCTCATACCAAAAACCTTTCCTTTTCACCAAATGAATCCTTTTCAAGGACGTTCTAAATGATATTTTCACTTCACTAGAATTTTCATTATTTGTTCATATCACGAAAAAAGACTAAAAATGCAACAGAAATTTATTTGCTTATGATGCACTGTTTGGAACATTTGGTGTGGTAATGCATATTACTGGAGTTTTTTCCCAACACCAAACCGTTATTTTGACACGTGTTTCGATCACCAAGTGATCATCTTCAAGAGGAAGATCAAACTAATCATAGTTACATAGTTACCATAGATACTAGTCTTATATTAATTTTACGATGTGTCCTTATATAGTAGTCAGGTAAATTTAATATATTAAATATTATTTTAACAAGTTTTATCATATACTATTAGATACACTCTCATTGAGATCTAGATGCCGTTTGTTGTTAACTTGTGTAACTTATCTCAATGAATTCAAGTCTATGGAATGGTTCAGTTGCAAGATATAATGGGTGACTGCCGATTTTTCAGGTCTTCCATATTTTAGCACTTTTTTAGCACTTAGCACACTTAAAATATGGAAGAGCTGAAAAATCCGCAGTCCCCTCATCATAATTTGCAACAAAACCATTCTATAGACTTCAGTTCATTAAGATTAGTTAGATGCCTCTGAGAGTGTAGAAATAAGTAAACATATTATTATTATGAATAACAATGGTGAACCAATACCTAATAGTGTACTATATAGCTTGTAAAATAATATTTTATTTAATAGATTTACCTGACTATTACATAAAGACACATTGTTAAAATAATTTAAGACTAATAGATAAGGCAATAAAGTGAAATTAATTTAAGACACTTAAGATGCAGGTATCTATGGTATATATAAGGATAACTTTGTAAGTATGATATTCCTTTTAAAGATGATCACTTGGTGATCGAAACACATGTCGAGGCGTTAAAAAAATAACGGTTTGGTGTTGGGAAAAAACTACAGCGATACTCAGAAATTTATTTGGTCACTTTGTTGTTCGATGGCAGCTACACAGATTAGACATATCAAAATTTGCACATATTTGAACCTACATGCATGTTTTATTAATTCCTGCAAAGACACAACTTACTATTTCAGCCTTATTTTGAATTCTGGAAAGCATATATTGGGTGACAGAACAAGAATGCGGCATTTCTCATTTCATTTTAACAAAAGGCTGAGTAAAGAAATTGTTCAAGTGGTAAGTGAATAGAGGCCCATATGTGATAGTAAAGTCATTTCACAAGCGAGTTCCTGAAATGTTTGATTTTTCAACTTTTGGATAGCTGAATATTTGATAGTAGACCAGAGTGTCACATGAAAGCAGTTGAAAATACTTCTGCCCAATAACATCTTTGTTAAAAGAAGCCTGCATCACTTAGCTGAATGATTACCAAAACTAGGCAGTGTTCTTTAGTGACCAGTAATTAGGTCAAGTTCCTTAGGCACTTGCGTAAACCTACTATGGGACATTCTAACCTAATATGTGTTCAAGTAAATAAAAATACTCGAAGTTACAGAAACATTCTTGAAATATTATGCCATGTTCCTTATTAAACTATAATCTTAAAGGCACTTACCCCTTAATACGAATTACGAATGCCAACTTGGCTTCAGCGGGAACGTAAAAGTTTCCTCTGGTTTTAGCTTGTCGGATCAACCTAACTTCATCCCTTTCTTTGAGCCGGTATTCTTTAACATACTGTTCGGCCCTCTTGAAGATATCTTTGCGTTTTTTGATCTGCTCAGACTTCTTTTTAATGGCGATCTGTAAACTCTTCGCACGGGAAGCCTCGCGCCTTTTGCGGTGCTTCAGGACAGATTCGGGAACTGCTGGTAGCCCCTTTACAGTTTTGGTTTCCGTGGTCTTCTTAGCCCTAAAATAAAATTGTAAAATTATTGGTTCCCCGTACTGTAAATAAACATGTCCAGATTGATTTTTTTGTGGAAAAACATATCGTTTTGCAACTAATAACCGTTTAATTAAAACAAATTCAGTTGTTATTAACAGAAAATGATGAATTTCAACGTTAAATAGAGTTTGGTAAGCGGATGAATTAAGATTTTAAAAAAATTAAAACTCTTACGTTGGAGCCATGATAGCGAAAGAAACTAAGAAATTTGTAAATTGACAGTGTTTTCAGTGTTTTCTTCTTCTTCTTTTCTTTCATGTTAACCATTGCTCGATTCATTGTTGTCGTTGTTGCCACATCTGCGAGGGTACTTGACGTAAGGTGGCAGCTCAAATCTCTAGGAAAATTGTGAACGTGGTCGACATCTAGCTTTATAATTCGAACATGAAAAATCAGGAAAAGATTGATTATTGTCATAAAGTTTTATCATTGAAGATGATCACTTGATGATTGAAAAACACGTGTTAAAATAACGGTTTGGCGTTATCATCTGTGTGGGGGAAGGCAACAGACATCTCTTGCTACCTCTTATTGTTTCAGAAGATATTATAAGAACAGGATTTCACGGCTGAAGTCACGATTATAGAGGTCGCGGTAGGTCCTGGTCGAATGGAACCTTGAGTACCAAACGTTTATGTTCAGAAATTTACGAATAAATGAAAAACTATACTCAGAATGTGATGACCCATAATAAGTACTGTTTCTAAACACCAGAACTGCAAACATTCTTCTCGACGTACGTTCCACCAACCAAAATTGGGTCTTTAGGAGATGAAGCGGCCCACGTAAATATAATCGAGTAAACCGTATTGGTCGATAAATTTGCAAGAACATTTTATAGAAATGAGTAGCTGCATCACTGTTCAGGAATCTCAAGCTGAATTCTGCTTTTTGACGTATACTATTTTTCAACTTTGTAATAAAAGCTTGCAGGTATATGTATATTCCTTTATACTATGTCAATAAAAACGATTATTATTATGATGATCATCACAATGATAATGAAGGTTATTGTGGATGAAATAGATCATGTTTGCAAATCTTGAGTGATACAGTAAAGTATACAATGCCATGTAAAAAATATTATCCCCAAATGTTGCAGCAAGTTGTTTTACCAGAAAAATTAAACAATTTCGTATGGAGTGAAAATATATTTCCTAGTTTCAACAATAAGTAACCAACTTTCAATATATTCTCATTATAACGCTACATCACTGTTTGAAATTCATTATGTCCTATTGATTTGTTTGAATATAAAAACGTCCAGGTATGACACACCCTGGAAGAAGGAAGTTTGCATATCAAGTAAAAACTCTTGAGATGATTAATTCAAATCTTCATCGTCTGTTAAGGATATAATGCTGCCAAATACCTCTCGATTCTTTGATTTGTTAGGCAGTGCAACGGAGAAACGTCTTTGGGAAGAATCTTCGCATGTAGTGTTTGATTCTGGACCAATTCTGCTAAAAATGAAATAAATGTAATAAATTTCTCGGATAATTTTCAAGTATCTTCAACTAAGTCATTTCTGAAAACGGAGTCCCGGTTTACAACTATTTTATTGGGGCTTATAAGGTTTTCCTATATATTTTTTTTCAAAGAAACTGATTACCCGGAGGAATATCCATTGGATTCACAGAATAATACAAGAAATCATTAAAATTCAATTACCTAACTGGTGTACTCACTTTTCATTGCTAACATTTTTATTATTATCAAAAGATTCAGATGTCCTCAAACGAATCATTCGTGCTGCATTCGATTTGTCTTCGAGCGAGTTATGCCTTCGTTGTCCAATTCTATAAAAAAATATAGGTATATGAAATCTCCAACTTTGAAAACTTACATTCTTATATCCAAATTATTGCCTATTGATCCTACCAACAAATGATATATGATTTCTTATTGTTTTTTGGATAGATAACCTTTCACAATGTGAAAAATAAGCAAAGCCGAATTGATAGAGAGTATGCTGAAATGTAATAAGTAGCTTTCTTTAGTGGCCGACGTTTCAGAACACAAATTTTTTCAGGTTTCAAAGCCAAAAATTCACCTGAAAACTTTAGCTCCAATTGTAAAAATGAGAAAATATACCTCTGTGAGGAATCTTGCATAACTGTCTGTCGGATAACATTCAATATACAGCGTGGTATTAGCCGGGGAAGTAGTGGTTTTTCGGCAGACATTTACCAGAACCTACGGTATAGATAGTTGGGAGAGATGCATATTTCAAGATTTTATTTCAAAATATTTATTTTCTTATATGCATGTATTTCTTCTCGATACAATATTCAAACTTATTTCATTTGTGAAAACCTATATTTCTTTTCAGACTGTGGAATATACCTAAAAAACAGTATGACACTGCCTGTCAAAAAATATCTTTCAAAGAATGTTAACATTATAAATATGATAACAATAATACATTCCACTTTCACCTTAGAAATGATAAAAGAAATTTAATATTCTGAATAATTTTATAAACTTTCAAATTTCAAGAATAAAGTTTCCTGAGAATACTGTTCTGTGAAAGTCCAAAATCCTCATTGTTGAAATGTTTAGAGAACTCATTTCTTCCTAGATTAGAAGAGTTGCATGAAAACATATTTCTTGTATTAAGCCTCATATATTTGAAAGCAGAAAGTAGACTCTTCTCTTCATTGTTCCGTGCAGAAGGTGGGATTCAAACACGGAACTATAACTTTATAGTTCTGTGGATTCAAATTATAAACTTACCCGTTTCCAAGTTGTCGTTTATTTAGCTCTCTTCTGATGGATTCTGGTAGTTGAGTTGGAGGTGAATTATCCTAAAATTAATATTATATGATGTTGAGTTTGTTCATATCGTTACGTTTTCGGGGTTCGAAAATAAGTGGGTATACCACGTGGCTGGTTATTGCCAAATTCAGAACCTTATATTCTCATCTTGAATGTCACAAAATGATTCAACTAAACAACGAATTGTCAACGTTTTTCCGTTTTGTCACCATGTTTCTCCCTTGTAGTATCGTTCAAGTTTCTACAATTGATTTAGAAAAAAGTGGAATTTTTGGAATGGTGAATTTGGGCGTAGTAGTTATATTTGCTCGTTAATTGAAGTGCGCAAATCATCCGGAAAATATTGGTAAACAGATAGTTTTTGTGGGAAAATTGCCTGTATATGGTTGAACACTCGGTTAAATATTCATGAGATGGGTGGTATCTTATCTGGTAGATTAGTTTGTCGAAACCGATGAAACACGCTCTATTTACCTACCGGCGATTTATCAGGAATAGGATTGGTCCAGATATTCGTTGTGTCTGTCCAGCCGTTCAAAACTTCTGCAGAAAACGCTGGTCTAGCCGGTATCAGGGGAGATCTGCAACATATTCTGAAATGAATATTATACACAATATATAATCTCCGTTAGGTTTTTCTTACGAATTGACTTCCTCCAACTTTTTTATCAGGCGTTCGTTCTCTCTGCACACGAGTTCGTGGTCCCTCTGGAGAAGATCTCGGGAAGTGAAGAGTTCCTCGTTATCCTTTTTCAACGCCTCGTTTTCTATCATATACAATTTGATAAGTTCGGCCAGTTGAGGTCCTTCTAAACTGGCGAGTTGCTCCAGATCCACACGCGGAGGCGTTTGGATAACTCGACGTTCTGTGGAAATCAATGGAAGGCAATGAAAGTCAAAACCACCCAAAAAATATATGTACCTCTTCATGGAATATATATTCTATTCTAAATACCGATTGGCTTTTTCTAGATAAGCCCATAGAGGTAAATTTTGCAGTGGATGTTTTCTATATTAAGTTTAAAGACATTTTCAATCAATGTAACGCTCTGCGAATTCCCCATTGTCTTTGCTTGCATCATGACAACTGTCATAACCTAACGAACTTTTTTAAATGTTAACAGTTATTCTGCTATTCCATGCGGAGGCCAATTCAATAAATCAAAAATCTTAGAAAACGACCCCGTTGTTTTTTATTGATGAATAATGTAACTAACACGATTTTGCGACTTTGTTTTGTATATAAGATTTAATTGTTGTGGGATCCGTTTGTGAACTTACCATTAGACGAGTCGCCAATGGACGATCCAGAATAGCTTAACGCAGATCGCAGATGGTCGTTTTCGGTCTGTAAAACACTCACTTCCCTCTTCAAGCTTAAGATTAAAGCTTCCCGTGGATCCTGTCGAATATAATCGATGGGATAATTAATAATGGAAAGACAGGTACGTATAGTATACATATCACTAAGGAAAGATAACTTAAATTGTCAAATTATGTTGACTTATTCTGTATCGACATTATATGTTTGTTTTGGTTATACAAAATGCAGGTTATAGGTTTCGACTGCGAAATTATCCAAAACTGTCCTGAATCATCACCATGTACAAGGTTCTTCCTTCAATGGGATTCTCTCTCTTTATTTGCCAATTGCTAATTATTTATTTCATTGTCAATTTTCTATATTGAGCAAATTAACTTATATTATTATTATCATGAAATCGCTCTTGCTCTCGAGGCTGATCTGATGAGAACTGTTTTCGTTGGGCATGCGTATTTATATGGAAATTTATTTGCGTTCCAGAATATTTTTTTCATTTATTTAATTTTGTTAGTTTGTGTTTGAGGTTAGGTAAAATTTTAACTGTATTTTCGATTACAAGGATACTCTAAATGATAGAATGGACACGATCAACTGTATTTTATCGTGTTCATCATTATCATCCTCATCTTCTGACGATGATGAAACAATTCTTCAAATTCTAAGTGCTGCTGAACTTTTGGTTTGAATACTTTATATTATTGTGAAAGTATGAGAGTTCTGTCTGTACTGAACAAATTATCTACTTATTTATTTTCACCGTCGAGGATCATAAATTTCGAGAGTTAAAAACCTTCTGAAAAACATTTCAAATAAACAAAACTAAAGCTCCATACGTTTTAATTTAAATGTGAACACACAAGAAACTTTTTAATGACAGCCAACTGAAACTATGAATATATTTCAAAGTTTCCTGCCTGCTTGTCAAATTAAAACTCTTCATATATACGATAGATGGCGCAGAAGTCTCGTCATAATGCGTTCTGGTTTAACCAAGTGTCCGAGACTTTCTCGAACTGTTTGGACTTGTTTTCGTCTACGCAAGATCAGGTAATCCAATTAGGAGAAACCAAGCCATGACCATTAATGATAATATGAAACTAAAGAGCCAAATATCAGTATCGTAGTTACTGCGTGCGAGAGCAACAACTTTTGCACCAACTGGGACACTGCGACCGTTACCACATCGTCTTTGATAATGTCTACCGCAGTAGTAGACGACACGTCAGGTATAAAAACTTGCAGACCACGGAAAGGAAAAACCGGAAAATAGCTTTCAGACAGGTATCTCCAGCCGTGAAAGTTTACATTATTTGACTATACGTACCATCAACACAATCGGTTTCGTACGAATTTTCTTAGCCCTCGCCGCATATCGGAGAGTATTGAGAGTTTCGTGAATATTCGACCTAGCTGGAGAAATGCAAGCTATCTGAAAAAATGAAAAACTGAATGAGAAGTTGTAAAATAGAAATTTGGTGTCAAAAATTTCAGAAAGAGGAGCCGGTTATTGTCAGCGAAGCTTTTCAATCCAAGCTTTTAAGCGATAATACACATATTAAAAAATTACCATCAGCGTTACTCCATTTCCCGCTAACGAGTCTGCAAGCAGCTTGGTCAACTTAGAGTCACGGTAAGGAATGTGTGAAGATTTCCTTCTTGGATCGCTCAGAGAAGAAATGCAGTAACCTGAAACGAATAGAAAAAAAAAAACAAAATAGGACAAAACCACCGTGTCAGGTAAATCAGGAGAATTTAAGTCGACTTGATTTTCTTGTTTCAAACTTTATGTTGGTCAAACAGGCGTAACCGTCTCCAAACGAACTGAAGATCATACACCAACTTTGTTTTCTGATTGAAGTTCAACATTTGCAAAAATTAACATCATCAATGTATAGAGTATAAAATTCTTTATCGATCAATATATACCACGATTACCACAACACAGTAGAATGGATATTTATTGAGATATGGAACTCCACAATACATGACATTAAAATAGACAGAACTTTTGAAACAATTTAATATTTAGATTAATCACTCAGAAACAAAACCTTTTTGAAATTTTTCCGTTACCTTCATTAAGCTTCCCATCGCCAATGAAGATGTTGACCCATAAAAAAGCACACTTAGAATCGATGCAAGGGAAACCGTACAATGCAAAGCCACCGATTTGGTCTTCTAATTACCATTAATGATTTCTCTTTAATTTATTATGGGTTTATAATTGGAAACCAGAGTTTCAATAAAGTATTCATGTTGATGGAATAGTCGATATCATTTTAATGGAAGAAGAGGCGGATTACTTGAAGGTCGTCGGGGATCAACAAACTATCGACTGTTCAACGATGATTAGCAAAGGGGTGGCGTTTGAAAGAAAAGACTGTTTCAATGGTGTTTTATCGACGGAAAAAGGCGTTCGTTGAAGTCTGATTTACCGCGGTGACAAAGTAACAAAAGGTATGACCTACAGAACAAAACATTGATGGTTACTGCGGAAATGTAACATATTTGAATATTTCATAGGACAGAGCTTACTCGGAATTGGAAAGAACCAAAATTGACATACAAATACAAAATCTGCTAGGTTTATCTAGTGGTTATCTATATACTCACAGGATTTGTATGAATTGGATGTCAACGTCATTGGAATTGTTGAATTTTATAATGAACAAAGTGACTGTTTCATTGAGAACTCACTGCAAAACTAGGGTTCTTATGCAAATGCACTGCATAAAAGTCTTAAAAATGATCTAAGAACACTGTCTGTACGAGAGTAGCGATTTACGTTGGGTTAAATGATATTTATACCACAAGAAAATCATTATCCAACGGGAGAGGAGTTCTTGAAAAGTGTAATTCGAGGTGTGCAGATGGGCAGATATATTTTGCCGCATATTTCTAATATATCAGCTACCTCTAATCGTGGTGGGTAGAATTTCACAGCCGGTGTCTAACAAATTGTCCAATATTTCCGGGTTTATCAGCCGTGTTTTGCAGGTTTTTACGCCTGACGTTTCGTTTGCTACTACGGCAGGAAGGAAGATTACTTCTTTGCTACCATGCGCAAACTGTAAATGGTCACAGATAGATCCTCCTGATTTCAGACAGGTTGGAGCCTGGCTTCCTTACCCTTAAGACGTACATTTGTCAGAAGTACAAAGCGTGAATGATCCTGATGCGTTTGTACGATCGACTGCTGCTGTACCTGATTGGTCCGACCCTCTTTAATGATTGGGAGAATCTTTTGTGTTATGAAGTGCCGTTATCCATGTTTTGTTGATGTTTAAGCTCTCCTCCTTACGGTTGAATTTATTCTTATGTTTATGTATTTATATGTCCTCTCTAAATAGTATCGGATAGTATGCACTAGTTTCATCAAGAACTTGCCTGCGTTCGAAAGTAATGTCATAGCTGCTCTCTGAGCAGCTATGAACTAATCACAACTACTGGGTATTAGGTATACTCTTGGGATTCTAATTGGATCCTTTTGCTGACCTGAGACTACTTTCTGTCGTTCTTGTGGACTTGAAAATGGCCCTAATTCCATGTTTTTGAGTATCCTTCCATTTCGGTCTGTCACACCGTTTATGTACGGCAGAAAAATTCTTCCTTTGGCCGTTCGATCCAGTGTCACCACTGTATAGGTTGTAAGTTAGCATCCTCAGGAGAAAAACATATTCTTCTCCTGAGAATGCTAACTTTGTTGGCGAAACGCGCGTCGAGTGCAAAAATATCAGTTTGGTGTTAGGGCAATTGATCTCGAAAAAAGTTACTCGTTATTTCTGTTTCCTAAAAACGCATTCTTCAAATGAAACATTTCCTCTTGTAGCACTTCCACCTTGCAGATACGTCTCACCTTCTCTACGAGCCTCTCCATAACCCCTCTTTTATATCTATATTGGCCCGTATGGGTTGGTTTCCTGTATAACTCATGCCCCAGTTTGCTCCTCTTCCGCATTTTCATTTATACATCCAGAAAAGCAATTCTTCCTTCTTTTCATGTCAGCTGCAGTAGCAGAAGCATAACGTTAGGTTAGGTTAGGTTACCTACAGACTACGGGTAATAAACCCGGAAACATCGGACAATTTGATGTATAGCTCTGACTGGATTCAATTCAGCTTCTGAAATTTGGGTCTCCAATCAGGCGAGAGCTCTTTGATGTGTATAACTTGGCAGCTTCGTGGTATACTTATGGGGCGGGGTTCCAATAGAAAGTACGTTTGGAGCTTTATAAAATCTCAAAAATTGAAAGATATGTGATGTGAAATCCCAAATTTCCTTCTCAATTATTTTGGAGCTATCAGTATTCAATACCCACGCAATCTCCTGTATTTGGAGCCTATTTTTCAAGCCTAAATATTTGATTTCTTCGAAAAAATTGGGTTATGTTGGGTTCGTTTTGCAGCTTATTGAATGAAACTAAACACTATAGTTTTGGCAGTATTTTCCCGAGTCCTGTTAACAAATAAACGTCTGTTCTGTATGATACAATACACAGAAAGTACACATAAAATATAAAGTAGATTATTTCAGATCCTATAGCAAATCACATAATCACAATAATTTGTTAAACATTCAGAGAAAACTCTACATCCGCCGCCCAATGTGGGAAACAAAATGTGAACTTTGAGAAAACCATTCACATCAGCATGACAACAACATTTAGAATTGGAGTGGCAAACAAAACGGTTCATACGCTAAACCAACCATTTTAAGAATATCTGAGATGTACTCATTTGTCACAACTAGAAGAATTTGCTGAAAAACTGCATGATTTTGACATCAAACAGATTTCGGATTTCATGTGTGGAACGGCGCAAACGTGAGATGTTTCAGAACGATTTTGAAACTATTGGAATTCTTCTGAAATTGATACTTTGAATACTTGCAGGATTTATCTTGTGATGTCTTTCTTACTGTACTAGAAGTGCAAACAATTTTCATGTGGATAGAGCTAATACCAGAAAAGGTATGAACTCACTTTTCATACGAGGTTTAGTTGAATATAATTCCCTTCCAAATGAAATTAAAAAAATGTGATACATTTGTATCGTTTAAGCAAAAACTCTCAAAATATCTGTGATTGTTATGAATGTAGTTCTATTGTATTAAAGATTTTCAGGTGAGTCAGTTTTGATATTTGCATTATCTCAATTTCACTTTGTTTATTGTTAATAATGTATTTTGTTATATATGTATACATGGATTCATTCATTGTATTAGGTTTTGATATAGGATTTACTTAATAATCATTTATTGTAGAATTACAACTTTGTATTGTGAATATTAGGATTATTCCTATTCAATAAAGACTACTTACTTACTTACTTTCTGTGAATCTCCCAGAAATAGAGAGTATAATATTAAAACTACTATTATCTGTTCATTTATTTGTTAATTCAGAAATGTGCGAATTCTAATAAATTAATAATGAAAATGTATCTATTATCAAAATCCTTCATTGAACTCCTCTTTTTCTATTTTTTTGTTTTGAAGAGTGGGATTTCCACACGAAAATGAATTCTTTCTAAAATTGTCATTTGAGTTATCATCTGTCTCCAATTTTAATGATAAAAAACGACAATTTCAATATCATATTGAAATAATTGTACTCACCCAAGACCATGAGACTTTTATTGATATTATTCGCCTCTTCCAAAGTTTTTCCTTCGCTTTGAGTCTTCTTCGTCATCTCGCTTCCAGCAAGATCAACGAAGTTGATTTTTCCAGACCTCGAAATGAAAACTCCGCCTTCTGCGGGTTGTTCTGAAGTTATACTCACGCTCAGTATCGTATGACTCCGACTGAAAGTATCATAGCATGGAGATAAAAGCGTCTAGAGATAGCAGCAGTGCTGATAACATGTCACACATATACATACCTTGAATAATCGTTCATATTGTGTCTTCCAACAGATCTATTTCTCATGCCTTCTTCCAAAACAGCTATCAGATCGTCAAGTTCTTCACAATCGACTGTGAATAAATTTTCCACGAAAAATCCTCTAGCTTTCTTGCTCCATCTAACTGCTAACGGTTTTCTAGCACTTCCTGGATTAAGAAGATCTATAACCTGAAATATAACAACCGACATAAAAACCGACAGAAGTATATATAATATTGTCAGCGATTTACATGTCGTAGTACCAAAAATCTTTTTTATAATCAGTTAATTTTTTACAACTCTAAGTTTCTTTGAAAACAACCACCCTATACAATTTGTTCGTCATACGACTACTAATCGATAACCAGCAGCGAATCTTTTGAGGGTGTCTTCAAACCACTTAAAGTGAAATCAGAAACTCATCACTCACCTTTTCATTATAGATTTCTAGGAAACTAGCTTTCAGAATGAAATGGAGTTCGGGCTGTTCTTGGAGCTTTTGAAATAGATACACAAAGGAGCGAAAAATGAGCCCGTGCTGATCGCTGTACGGAGTTTTCTTCAAGCCGAACTGAAAAACAAACTTCCATTAACAGACTGTAGGTAAAAAAATCATTGTTATAGCAGTCTGTGTTTACAAAACCTCTTTCGCATTTTCACTTTTGTATTGATACATAAAAAAAATCTAGATTCTTGTGCAGAAGGGTAGTTTATAATTTCGTATGTCAATAGTCTCGAACTGGTAATTTTGACGAATATTCTATTTCTGGAATCTCCTTCGCATATTCCCAAGGTTACCTCCTCAAGATCATTTCTCCAAGGGTGGGTGGTAATAAAGCACATTCGGGACCGCATTATGCCGATGGAAATAGTTTGGACATGCTGACAGCAAGTACATTACATCGTACAAGTGCAGTACATCGTATGACTCCGACTGAAAGAATCATATAGCATAAAGACACTATTCTGGCAGGATTTTGCTGCAAGTTGTGACCACTTTGTTCAGTGTCGAAGATTAAACAGAGTTCATCAGTCACTCGGCAGCTATCTTGAAAAGAAAGGCTCCAATTCCTGCTCCATCATGATCACGAACCATTCCGAGGAAGGGATCCCAACTCTTGATGAATTTACAGGCTCCATCCAGCACCATTCTGTCATTTAGACATTCCAAACTCAAAAGTCAACATCCTCCCTGTTATAGGGGGGAATAAAACCGTGGAACGGACGATTTGGGACACAAACTCTTATGGTGATACATCATTTTTTCCCAAATTCACTTTACTACTCCAACGAATGTAGTGCCATTGGATTGGCAAGCATGTTCGTTGCAGCTTGTGCTGATACTTGTTGTGGTGATAGTTCTTAACTACTACCTCTTGTGACCAATTGTTATGGTGAAGTGAGTTCGCCAGAGTGGTATCAGTTGGTTCACCTACTTCGAATTCGGCGCTCATATCCGTTGTGGCTACCCGAACCGCATTAATAATGTCTTCTTTGGTAGCATCTCCTGACATCCCTTTGATATGAATCATTTCTGGCGGTATTTCCCCTACTCTCTTAATTCGGAGAGATGTATCACCCTTTAGGGCTTCATTAAGATTATTAAGGGCACCTGCGTCTCTATCTATTGTCAGTAATAGTTTCCCGTCTTTTGTGCATCTTATGCTTTGAATTGAGGAGGCTGCCTCATTATTTTTGACGACTCCCGTGACCTTGCTTAGGATTTCCTTATAGTTTCTAGCGTCTCCGCTGACAATCATCCCGTAGGTGTTTTTTTTAATGATCTTTCCACCATATTTGGCTGTGGTATATATTTCAACCTTGGTTTCTGCTTGGTGGAAGGTAGCCTCCGTCAATTTTTGGAGTTGCTCATTGGAGATTCCCTTTATATGGTGGATGCAGATCTTGCTAACTCCAATTGTTTCCTCTCTGAGCTTATGGAGTTTCCTCTATATAACTTCAGGGGTTCCTTTATGAGTTATTTTAATGGCCTACCTGCAGGTAAGAGTATATGTGCCTCTTATCTTGGTAGACTGTTCCAAGACCATAAATTCCTCTTCTAACTCTCCCAGCTCAGGATATTTTTCCTTATATAGGTCATCTCCTTGTTCTTAGGCTCGACCATGACTACTTTGACTGTACTAATTGCTGTCAGCAAAGAATTTCCCACTATCACCTTGGTGTTAGAGCCTCGATTTTTTTGAAAATCCTTCCAGGCCATGTTTTCCTCAATCTGCGTGGTGAATTGAGGTGCCACCTCCTTCCAGGGATCAGTTTGTGTGGAGGCATCACATTTGGGTTTATGGTCAGTCTGTATTTCCACATCGATGGTCATTTTTTCAATGGGTTCGAATCCGTTCCCTTCAAGCCACTCTTTGACGGATTTTCTTTGGAACAGCTCTGTCATCTTCTTAATTTTTTTGGCTAGTTCCTTCATCCTTTTACTTATTGTGGGATTTTCATTCAGCAGCTTATCCAGCTCAGCCATTTGTTTTTGATTCGACTGAATGGTCTCCATTATCGTGAAGGCTTCCGGGTTCTCCCTCCTTTTATAAGGGCTATTCGTGCTTTGTTTGTTTCCTTTTGGCGTCATTTCTGACTTCTTTCCCAGTGCGCCCTTGCCCCGCCAAGGCTGTCTACACCAGGAGATCGCTATCTTCCCGGTGGCTCCGTTCGAGACCATTTAGGCCTGGCCATTCACCCATCGGCACGGTTCGCATGATACCTTGGGTTGCGGATTTCTAAGGAGTTTACTCCCTACCCTAACCTAACCTAACCTAACCTAACCTAACCTAACCTAACCTAACCTAACCTAACCTAACCTAACCTAACCTAACCTTACCTAACCTAATCTAACCTAACCTAACCTAACCTAACCTAACCTAACCTAACCTAACCTAACCTAACCTAACCTAAGACATTTGACTGTTTTGCTAGGTACTGTGAGGCATCTGAGCAAATGTAGGATGTTGTATCAAATACCTTGCTGTGATCGATACAGGCCGTAAATATGATATGCTCATACTGTATGGAGTCCTGCGTTACATATATATCAATGAGCAAGTTCTTTTTACATCCAGCGATTCCTTTTTTTCTACGCTCTCTGTTCATATATCTGTTCGAATACCCGGTTAACAACTTTCAACACGAATTCAAGCATTTTATCGGCCTGTTATTCTTAAGAATATCTATTCTTGGGAATGAAAACGGAAGGTGGGTAGTAGTTTTTTCCACCAATGGACATTCAGCACGACTGGGACAGTAGCAGCAAAGTTTGTTGCACCCACAACGGCTCTTCGAACATCATCTTGGATTATCGGGCAGCGCAGTTCGTTGGGCTCAAGCTGTCAAAGCTCTCTACAGAAATATTCGGACTGTAATAGGGCTGGAATGTGTAAATCGAGTGGCTGTGAATCATTATTATTATTACTATTATATAAAAGAAGTTCTAATCATTCAGGTCATTATTAAATGCGACAAATTACTGACTGATTGAACTCAATGTTTTGCAGTCTTCATAAATAAAACTCTGTTGAAACTCCGTTAAAAAACATGCGGAGACGGATGCAGAGGTTCGTTTGATGCGGAAGCTCCGCACTTGCGGAGGTGAGGACGAGGTTCCGTTAAAACCCTGTTACAGCATTACATGAGAGTTGGAAATCTATCTCGTTTTCCAGATACTTACCAGGCCAGGTGGCCCAGTGAGGGTGTGCGTCTTTCCACTTCCGGTTTGGCCGTAACAGAAACAAGTGCACCGGAAACCTTCCACAGCCATCTCGATGAGCCTTTCCATTCCCGAAAACTGCAAAACGTCTTCTTGGGTGGCCGCTGGTTCGAAGACAACGTTATACGAGAACAGCTTGGGTTTTTGGCCACCGCTAGGGCCTCCTGGTATTCCATCCACCTAGAAAGAAGAGTATTCAGAACATGATTGGAGGAGAGAAGAGTTCGGACTCACCAGGACTTGTCCGTTTCCTGGAAACTGCACGACAGAGTTTTCTCCTGCTCGTAGCTCTTTGTCGCTCAATGGTCGCACCCTTGACGATAATGAGTTTCAATAAGTGAGATGAGATATATCAAACAAATAAAAAATGTTGAGTGGATTTAACAAAATGCACATTTGAAATAGTCTGTTTATTAAAAGCAAAAAGTAATAAACACTTATTATAAACGCAAAACTGTAAAAGTCGAAATTTTGTGATTTCGTTATGATTTGCCACAGCTGGTATAGGAGTGTTTAAACTACTTTAACAGGTCTACCCTATTTTTGTATCGCCTACGGGTCGCAAACGAAAAAAAAATATATGAGAGTTCAATAGGATTTGCAATGCAGGTGATAATAATTTTTCCATTGAAGAGAACAAAATCCGGGCTTGTAAGCCGTAGTTTCGTCTACCACTGCGGCAGACATCATCAGTGTTACATGGGTTGGCTGCGAGGACGAATGTTATATTTCGAAGTTCAGCAAAAACAACAGTCGAGATGTAACCAATCAGATTCTCTGTTGATTTAGTTTCGTTTATTTTTCACATTGTGGAAGGTTATGAATATCCATTTCTCCAGAAGACCATATGTAACTGCAAAAGTGGCTTCAACATTTCTCTTTCTCCCAATAGTGCACATATTTTAATAATATACACGGAAAAGTAACGCAAATTTTTTTTAAGGCTAAAACACAAGCACTACTGTGCGAAAGTAGCGATTCACGTTGGATTTGAATCGCTGGAGATTGAATTCATTTGGAAAAAAGTTCTCAGGAAGTTTGTTCCACATAAACAAAGTTCTCCAAATGAAAGAGTGCTTGAACAGTTAAGTTTGAGATGTACTGAGTTGAACCTTTAAACGATGAGCAGCCACATTCCGTCGCGTATTTCTGATATGTCCTGCTCTTGGTGGAATCAAATGTGTCAATCACTTGAACACCTCCCGTGGAAGTATCTATAGAAGATAGAATCTCCAATCTTTCTTCGATGTTCCAGACTATCAAGGTTGTAAATGATGTTCGCTTCTCCAATCAGGCGGATGGCTCTTTTCTGGATGGAATCCAGAGCGGATGGCTCTTTTCTGGATGGAATCCAGCTACTTCAGGGTATGCTTAGGGACGAAGCTCCATACAAGTCCGATCTGCTTTATAAAGCATCAACAGTTACTGTGGTTTGTAGTTTTCTGGTTCGGAACAGTCTTCAAGCTTTTGAGAAGCAGCCTTTGCAATTCCAGCGACATGATTGTGCCAAGACATATTGGTGTTCATTTAAACCCCTAACAAACTTTTCGAAGCAGAAAGCGGAATTGTCTGTCCTGACATAATTAGGTCCAGTTCGGGGACATTTGTCTTTTTGGAGGAAACCGATGCCTGGGTTTTGGTAGCACCACCTCTAGATCCTCATTAAGATATGCAATCATCTGCTCCCGGTGTAGATGTGCATGCCGATGTCTTCCGGCTGCGGAATAGAATAACGAGACAAGTGTGCTGTCGTCAGCAAAGCTATATATTGGATTCTTGTTTTTTTTTTCAATAAGAGCACAAGAAATACACACAGCGAGGGGAAATTAGCAAATCAGGAATAGCAGACCATGTTTGGACCCATCAACACAACATCGAGTGGTCCCAAGCTGAGATCTTGCACAGAGTAGAACATTGGTTTAGGAGAAAATTCAAGAAAGCCGCTTACATGTTGTCCAACAACGTATTCAGTCAAGCCAGCGTAGAAATACGCAACATATGGAAACCCATCATCAAGAGAAAAATGGCCAACTCCCGCCAAACGGTCATCTCCCACGGAACCAGTGAAGCGGAAAATGGAAAGCATTTTGTTCAATTGTTCTATTTTACTAGTATTTTATCTCACTATTATTTCATTTCAGGTTTATTTTGCTTAATATAATTGTTATTTTCAGCTATCCATTTTTAATTCTTCTTTTTTAGTTATTTCAGGGATTTCAAACCATTTTATATAGTAGACAATGGAAGTCCGAACTAGTGAAATTCATCATGAAACATTGTCAATCACCTTTAAACAAGAGGGTTTTCAATAAGAGGGTTGAAAATATTATGGCTCCTTGGGAAACCATCGAAAGCTGAGAAGCATCGAAGTTTGACCAGCAAACCCGCATGCTACACCACGGTCAACCCGTGGGTTGACCGTGGACAGGACGGACGGGATCGCCGGACTCTTGGTCGGTGGCAGAACTAAAACTCCCCAAAAGCCTTTGCTAAACATACCACCGTGGACCAGCCTACCCAAGCTAAGGTGTAAGGAATCGTGCCGACAGCTGAATGGCCGTAGGGTGATATGCGGTCACCAACGATCCCCTTGAGGAACTTGGCGAAACCTCATTGTAATCAGCCTACCTCTGGTAATGCGGGGTTCTGCCAGAGTGACCAACTCTTTCCCTGCTACTCGTGGGAACATACATATGTTAAACAAACAAAACAGACACAACAAAAACCAATCCTGAGGCTGGACAGAAATGCTCACCTCAATCTATGGCGGTGGCTTGGGATGAACAGAAATGTCCACCCCAATCTACCGCCGGGAATGAGGCTGGACATAGCAGATCACCTCGTGATGTAATACAAAGGCGGCGCATTAACGGCGCCGAGGCCAAAAGGAGAAAGAGAGTGAAAGAGGTAGCAGTGGCAGCAACCATAATTACACCTTCCTCCTCCACCACTCCACCTCCAACAGCAAGGGCTCTTCCTGCGGCGGGCGCCAAGATCTCCGCCTTGAATAAAGGCAAGGAACCGGCTGCCCCTACAGGAATGAGCCCTCACTTGAACACCTCCTCTAGGGGAACCCCAGGAAGGTTGAAGAAAATTGCGCGACAGTAATGTCGCTGCACCTTCCAAAACCTTCGCGGAGGCCGCCGTGAGATACCTCAAGGTTGTCAATGAGAGTGTGTGTTCGGCGAGTCTTGGCCTACACCTGCCGATGTAAAGGAGATGTTTCCTAGTGACCTGTTCCTGGAAAGGACAGGATGGACGATGACCTAGGAGGATAACTCCTCGGGAGGATGAACAAAGGGTCACATGTGGCCTAAGTGCTGTGGGTATACACTCCCCCTCCCTACTATATACATACATACCTACACACGGTCAAAGGCCTTAGAAATATCAAGCGCAACAGCTCTTGACGCTTCATGTTTCTCGATTGCATTGGTCTAAATATGGGTGACATACGATAGAAGGTCTCCTATTGATCTTTGTTTCCGAAAGCCATATTGATGTTTGCTCAAGATTGTTGAAGCCTTCCAAATATTTAAGGATATGGTGGTTTGCGACTTTCTACATGGTCGACCGTTCTATGGTTGGAAGAATCTTCTTTTTCTTTTTGGGAACAGTTTGAACGCGAGCAATCTTCCTACAAGAAGGAAAAACCCCAACCTTGTGTCCCATTGGTGCTTCTCAAGATCAAAAATCAGCCAAAAGGGTAGGGAAGCTGGACTCCAAGCCTGAATGAAACGAAGATGACTTTCCACCCCATCCTTGTAAGACAAGTTGAAATGTCTGCAAAATACTGGTGCGAGTCCATTGTCGCACTTTTCAAGTACGATGTCGGGGTACTTCATCAAAAAGGTGTAGATATTTTTATAATGTTCAAGTAAAAAATGTTGAAATGAAGGGAAAGCAAAATGTTATGATTCAATGATGGTGATAGATTACAAGAGATATTTCGTGAAGATTGCAGTATCTCTTGCATTGCTTGACGCTCATAGTACTTAAAAAATGGTAGATAATAATCGAGACATATCATTCCACCTTTCTAATATCTCCAAAACAACTCGAGAAAATGAGATATTCTGTTCATATGTCTGAACGCTACAAAACCGCCAACTCGACAGTAGTTATCGTGTTAACAAAAATTTATATATTTTTGCGTGTGTGTTTGCACTATAAATAATATATCCACCTATCATTTGCATGTTCATTATCGATTCACGTAATTTTTATTTTTGTCCTACCTCACAACAACGTTAATGTTATCCTCCGCTTGATTGTAACTGGTAATTATTCTCTGGAAGTTATTGTCCACATCTAACTTCTCTATGCTACCATTCCTGAAAAAAATAGCGAGTTGTATGAAGAAAAACACACCTTTCGGCATTAGGAGTACCAAAGAAATGGAAAATTTTCAATGAGTGCTTCACAAATAATTATACCGAAAAAATACCCATAGCACGAAAAATATACATGACTTCAATTCCTCAAGAAGTAGAAACCTGGGGAAGCTTTCGAAATATTTTCTATTTTTGTTATTTTCAAATTGTGTGAAAAATATCAAATAAAGCGAAAACCAGGACCCCCGGATAATAAACTCATCCTTCTGAGAACTACACCACAGGAAAGCTTACAAATTGCAGTTTAAGCTGAAGCATAACGTATTTTCATAAGATCCTTAAACACGGAAAGTGACCAACATGTTGTTGTTGTTTGATGAATAATAAATACTTCATCAAAAGCACTAGGAAAAGTCATGAAATTTGTATTGGCAGATGAAATATTCAAAAATTCCATCAACCAGTCGAGGGTTAATATCAACATTCTCAAGATCGCGTGTTCAGGGGTCAACAAGTTCATTCTTATTACATTCACCCCACGGTTGACCCACAAATGTCTTAGAACGATTAACATGCGACGTAAGGTCAGTGTTCTTAACCTTTGTAGATTGAGGAAGAGGAAAATGAAAGTGGAAATGTACGTTATGATATTTCTTTTTCGATGCTGATATTCTGTCTTGCTGAATTTTCAACTCATACTGAAAATCTTTCACAGTTATAGTAGTTTTGATAATTTGAAAAACTGTTTGTTTCAAGAATATAAGTGAAATATATAATTGTGACAAATTAATGAATTAACTGTCTTGAACAAATTCATTTACAACAATATTTCACTAATCACAAACTAATTTATTTACAATACTTAGCAACTAACACTAAATTTATTTCCACTATTTGAATTTCTTGTTTAGCCGCTCGATTCACTTTCTGAACTGCCCTCTTGGGTCGGGAAAACGGGATTAAAACGGTATATTTGATTGTTTCAACAGTTTTGTCCGATTCAATGTCTTGACTTTTTGTAGCTCCATGTCTTAATAAATAGTTATTCTACTCTATCTTAGTCAAATTCATGAGTTTAAGTGGTGAACTTGGGAGAAAGGTAAAGTAAAAAATGAGTTGGTATATACCTATACACACCATTCAAGCTTTCAATTCACATCATTCAGGCTTTTTTCTTTTCCATTGTGTTCTTATTGTTTAATGGTTTATTGGTCATTCATTTGTCCAATTTATTATGATGGTATCGATATTACTTTCACAAAGGTCTCTGGAGTATTCGAGTGAGATCGATATTGGAAAAGCTATATTTGCTCTGTTAGTTACTTTGTGGTTATTCCTATCAAATCATACTATTTCCGGAACCTCTCGAAGTCAAGGTCAGCGAGGCTATCATTTATAGAAATCGATATAACTTTTACCGTTGAAAGCGTAGCATAACATTGCAGTTGTTATTTTTGTATAATATTCATGCCGGGTAATCCTCAGACATGAACTGTTCAATCCAAGTGATACAAGGGAAGGTATACGTACGATTTTGTTTCGTGACAGCAATAATTGTAAAAGTGTTTTGCTGTAGAATTTTCGATAATAATCCGTCGTTTCATTCGAACCCGAAATTAGGGGTTGTTACTTATCTTGGACTGGGCACGAATAAAATTCTGAAAGAAGTGATTAATATGTTGTTAGAAATGAAAAATGGACTGAAAGATCTCCCATACATAAAAAATTAGACACAAAATTTTGACGATGTTGTTATTGAAAGTGTGACGAGAAATATTTCGCAAAAAAAGATATTTAATATCTGGGGAACGTTACAAAATTTTCAGTAATGAGGGTTTGAAAAATTAATGAGTATTTTTATATTGAATCGCAACTTCTGATGGTTGCTTTTCTTGGCAATGGGTTTTCATATTGAAATTGGGTTTGAACTTTTTCCATCGAAACTAAAATCTTGATATCCATCTACATCGTCTAAGTTCTAGCATTTCCAAATCATATCTAACTTGTAATTCACATACGTGGTGTCTACAAAAAATAAGGTGAATTTTAATTTTTGTCAAAAATTTTTTATTAATTTATTCATCAATTTCAATTGTCTCCTTCAAAGTAGTCCCACTCAGATGTGGGAGCGGTTTTTACTTAATTTGTACGCTATTTATACACTTAAACAGGCACTATACATTAATGGATCAATCGGCACTGTTATCATTTTAAATATAGTGTAACATTTTTGTGTAATGTTAGAGCCCGGGACCATTCAATATTTTTCAATATTTTGCATATTTTTGCACGAAACAATATTTTTGCCGTTCTGCCATCTCTTAGATTGTTCAACACTGACTTGATTTTGAATGTTGTGCAACATTTTTGTTTAGTGTGGGGAATTCAGTTCCATTCAATATTTTGTACAAAGATTCAGCTCAACAAATTTACACAACATGTTTAACATTTCTGACAGAGTGGGGGACATTTAAAGCATCGTTTTTTCATATCTCAATTCAATTGACAATAACATGATTTTGCATGTTGTACAACATTTTTGTGTGAGGGGTATAGGACTATTCAGTATTGAACACAAACATTTAGCTCAATATTTTTGCGAATTTTGAACATCATTGCCTTTCTTCCATTGCTTAGTTTATTTGATTTTGTATGTTGTGCAACATTTTTGTTTAGTGTAAAGAGCTCAGGACATTCCATATATTTCATACAAAAATTTAGATCAACATTTTTACATACAATTCCGAACATTTTTGCCAGAGTGGGGGACACTTGAATCATCGTTATTTTTCATTGTTTAGTTTGATCGATAGTAACATGATTTTGAATGTTGTACAACATTTTTATGTAGCGTTAGGGACCCGGGACCATTCAATATTTTACACAAAACACTAGACATTATATTTGCACAAAATTTTAAATATTTTTGCCGTCCTTCCATCGCTCACTTTGTTCAACACTGGCTTTGATTTTGAATGTTGTGCAACATTTTTGTATAGTGTGAGGGGCTAAGGATCATTCAATATTTTGTACGAGCTCAATATTTTTACCCAAAATTTAGAACACTTTTGCCAGAGTAGAGTTTCGTATTTCATTCTATTCGTTTAATCGACAATGACTTGAAGTCGAACGTTGTACAACATTTTTGTGTGGCGTGGGGGTCGTAAACCATGTAATATTCTGCTAAACATTTAGTTCTATATTTTTGCACAAAATTTTGAAAAACTTGCTATTGTGAGGAATACTTACGACGACGTTCTTCCATCTTTTATATTGTTCAACACTGACCTGATTTTGAAGGTTGTGCAATATTTTTGTTTAGTGTGAGGGGCTCAGAACCATTCAATATTTTGTACAAAGACTCAGCTTAACAAATTTACACAACATGTCGAACATTTTTGCCATAGTGGGAAACACTTCAAGCATGATTTTTTCATATCTCAGTTTAATCGACACATTGTTTCGCATGTTGTACAACATTTTTGTGCAGTGTAAGGAGCGTGGGACCGTTCAATATTGAACACAAACAATTGGCTCAATATTTTTGCACTATCTGTTACGGACTGTTTTTGTGGTTAAATATAAAGGTAATTATGTAAAATCTAGAAGTACACGTTTGAAATCTCATTGGAGGACAACTCAAGCACTGTGTCCGTCGCCATATCTTCATAATCTCCATTGCAGTTCCAGACGAAACATCAGGCCTTCAGTCCACAACCAAATAACCCGACAAACAGCTTTTGAATATAAATAAAACATTCATGAGGTTATACTTACTCGCTACCTCCAGATTTCACCAGTTGCTTAGGAACTTTCACAGGACTCTCTCTTAAATTCGATGATTGACCGGAAACTCCATTCTTGCGACGATCCGGACTCTGGCCCTTCCGGAAGGATGACTTCGTCGGAGACTTCCTCAAGTTATCAGAAGAAGATGATGGTGAAGAAGAATTTATCTGGTTTTTATTGATAATTCTCAAAGGGCTCGTTCCCCGCGATCCCGGAGGAGTTCGATAAGAGTTACTGGGTCTCGTCACCATTTTGGTAGATTGGGATCTGTTCATGGAAGCCGTTCTATGGGCTTATTCTGCATTTTCTGTGAATATTTTTAGGTATTAGTCAATCAAAAAGAAGATTAATTTTAGGATATCGATAATTGAAAATTATCACTAAAACACTATATCCAGAATCCTTCAAATATTGGTATAAATAAGGTATTATTCTTTTGAATTATTATTGACAGACTGGGAAGTAAAATTAACTCAAAATCTGTTATCAATGATCAATATGTACAAAATTATCAAACATCAAAGTTACTGTGAAGTTATATTACAATGAAGTATAATTTTTTCACATTATTTTCGAAAGAAAAAAGGTGGTCTAATTTTTGATATCAGTGAGTAATAGTATATTATCCAACGCGAGCGAGAATTGTCGCAATTACTCGTGAGAATTAATTTTATCGTCAATCATTTGAATGGGTAATTCAAATGATTGACGAGTAGATTACTAAACTTTTTCTGTGAATTATATCAGAGATATTTCAAAGTGAGATTTATTTGTGAAGGATGTTCCAAATGAGAGTAATATCATTAAATTTCATGACGACATTTCGTGTAATTCAATGTTTATATGAAAGTAGCTGTTTCAGGAGGACTTTCTTTCAGTTTGTGTCTGAAAGTTACTTCTTTGCATGATCTACACATCCATGTATAGAGTTACTCATTTTCAAACTGATTCCTTTCTTTGGAAGATTCCCTTATTCTATTTTTTTTGTATCAAGATGGATTAGTAGAAAGTCAGAAACTTTCTTTTCTAAAAATTAATCACTCCTAAAAATATAACCCCTTCAATTCTCATCACTTTCATTTTCAACAGAACCGAAATTATCATCTCTAATTCCATTTGAGATTTAAGGGTGTACCATCACCCCGCTGCGGAGGCGATGGAAATGACAAGGTTGACACCCTGTATGTACTTGGGATAATTCTTGATTGATTCTGATGGGGGAATACCAAAAGCACCAATATATTTTTGAACATCAGAGTTTCTATAACAAAATACACCACGGTTCTTCTGTCAATTATCGACGATATTTTTGAATATGTAGATGATGAGAATTGGACCTGTTTAATACTTCTGGATTATAGCAAGGCCTTTGACACTCTTGATCACGAGATATTGTGTAACAAACTTGTCTGCCCTGTGAGTATCGATCTTATACAATTGAAAACTTCAAAAAAAGAGCAAAGACTTGCCTAACTGTCTAGTCTCTTGCCCGTTCCCGACCTTGGCAATACAAAAAGGTTGCAGCAACAAATTTTCTGATTTTGTCATCACAATATCACTGTTTTCTCGACATTTTTTTGTTATTGTTATTATATTATTGCTATTCTCAGGTTGAGTTGAAAAACAGCTAGGCTGAAAGGTACTCCGTCTATTCACCTTTATACTGAAAATTGTTTCCTTTTTATTCTTTTTGTCTTTTTTAATTGTACTTTTTATGGTGAATAACAATTATTATTATGGTGAAAAACAATTATTACGACTTATAGTTATTAAAGAAACGATTCAAAGCCAATGAATTCAAATCTATATAATCAAAATGAACTCAATCCTGAAATCATTGAACTCCTGCGTTTACTTTGAATCAAACAAACATCAACAATTCCAAACATGAACTTAAATATTCCAAACACAAACTTAATTATGTTGATGACTCACTTCAAAAGGGGGCCCAAATTGAAGCAGGTGCGTACAGTCTAACAACTTCCACCTCAACACACAAAGCACCCTCAACCTTCTTTGCTGAGCACTGATATGAACTAGTCTTTCAACTAGGTGTTATTCGTATTCTACGTCGCTATGGGTCGCACTATTAATACAAACACTAACGAAACATGGTTTCTTTCAACTTTGAATAATGCACTACTAACTTTTATTTTATTCGGTGGTGATTATTAATACTGTCAGCAGCAAACAGGCGATTGTCTTTGAATGGTTTTATTTAAACATTCGATTGAACAATTACTTTTGTGAAGTGTTGTTCTTTTACCTTAATTTACTTTCAATCTCAATTTTCTTCTACTGCCATACAATTAAAGCAATTCAATACTGGTACGTCATAAATTAAAACTTATTTCTCCTTCATTTAAAGAGAATCAGAAATTTATCTCCCAAATTATCGCATGTGGAGTGCCTTACGGTTCTGTTCTTGGGGCATTATTGTTTATCATATACAAACGATGATATTTTACCGTTTCGGATCGAATATAATGATCCAAATTCTTTTTTTAAATCATCTGAACGAACAAGGTTTATGTGTTATAAAGTTCGCAATAGAAATAAAACAAAATGACTGAGTTAATTTCGTTATGTTGAAAAAAAATCGTCATATTTTGATAGTGTTTATCGGAAAAAAACATCTCAATACATAACTCCACTACATATCAAATCATCATGCAAACATTAAAAAAGGTGTAACAAACTGTCTCTGCAACAAAGAGAAAACGGTTTAGTTTTAGAATATTAGTGGTTGTTTTTGTCATATTTGCCAAAAACTAGAACTGCCGAATTTCGTTTTTTGGCCCTACCACCTCCATTTTGTATGATATGAAACAAAAGGCAGTGGAACTTTCAATACTGTTTCATTTCAAATTAGAGAGCAAATCAGAGAACTCAAAGCTTTATATAAACTCAAAATATCGAAAGAACATGTAATATACCTAGTAACAAAAAGAAAAAAATCAATGTCAAAACACCCCTCACCATCTACGTCGTTCACGATATCTCATTGAATATACAAATTACAGCCGTTCGTTAAATGCATAATCAATCTTGCAGAGACGCCTTTCCCATTGTTTCTTTCAATTCGTCAATATCCAAACACCTTGTCTTTATAGAAGCCTCACAATGAAACGTTCAGAAGGTTTAGGTCAGGTGAACAGTCGTTACAGCCGTTCGTTAAATGCATAATCAATCTTGCAGAGACGCCTTTCCCATTGTTTCTTTCAATTCGTCAATATCCGAACACCTTGTCTTCATAGAAGCCCCACAATGAAACGTTCAGAAGGTTTAGGTCAGGTGAACGTGGTGGCCATTTAATAGGGCCATTGTTTCCTATCCATCAGCAAATAGTTCTGCAATGTGACGGATATACCGATATTTTCTCAGAATATTCAAAATCAAATCGTCCAACAACTCAACTAGAGTCTCCGACAAGAATTCTAAGTGTAATTCCCCCGTCAAAAATGTTTCAAAATAGTAGGGATCTACAATCTTGGTGCCTAGCACACCAAGCCAAATATCTCTTGGAAATTTGTAGCTCTATGTAGGAAGGAATTTTTTTTCGCCTTTGATAATGAATATTTCTATTACACCATCTGTTATTTGTGAATTAACTCTCGTCACACGATAAAATTTCATCACAGAATTCATTACCTTGACGATGTTATCCCATGTATTAAAGGCAAATTTCTCTGACTTTGTAGGGTCAACAATTCTCGAAATTACGTAGTCGATCTGATGTGCAATCTCTCTCAGTGATACTTCTTTATTTTCTATTTTTCGGTATTCCACAAATCCTGAATCGAATAAATATCACTTTATTATCACTGAGAATGTCTTTGAACATACCCGAAACGCCAATTTCAGTATATCCACCGTTTTTAGTTACTGTACAAATTTTACTCGAGGGTTTTTCAAATGCAAGAGATTCAGTATCACTTCTCAAACATCTCGCGTATACAAAAATCACATAAATTTTCTTGTAATTAGAAAAATTCATGGTTTTCCTCTGACAAATTCACACGAATCTAATGATTATTTACGACAGTAAATTTGACAATTATAGGTCATATTCTCTTGATTCATGGCTCATGTTAAACAAATCAGTTCGTTTGAGTATTGTCATATATTTTTTCTCCACTATTTTTATTTGTCAGAAAACATCAAAAACAAACGTGTTCCATTAAAATTGGCTCTTGAACAGTTCCGTATTTATACAAAACCCCTGGAATGCATAGGCGTTCACCTCCACTTGCAAATTTTCTAAAAGATATGTGGAATTGATGTATCTTTGAGTAGACGATGTACTGACGATGCCCTATTGGAATTAGTGTGAAGTTACCCACAACTTTTCATCCACAGTTTATGACGAAGGACAATCGAACAGGGTTTAGAATGAGATTTGCGAACAGTGTTGCCAGATTGCAAATATTAATAATTTTACCTATATTTTGATGTTATCATTTTAAAAATATGATATATTATTGAAACATGTCGAATAAATGAGTCGGCATTCTACATAAACTCATTATATCAGCCAACTGTCCGTATACAAGCAGTAATACCGAAAAAAATGTAAAATAAGAGTAAAATATTATTCAGGAAAAATTCATTCGTACCGAAACAGGTAGCGAATGAGAACTGGAAAAATAGTTTCTCGGTAAAAATTTTATGACTTGTAAAAAGTATGTCATTTGAAATATCCTGCGTTAAACAATACCGAATGCCCAGGAAAGAC